GAGTCCCAAGAGGATGCTTCCCCGATCACGACACTCGTAACCTATTCAAGTCTAGGGTTAACCGTTATCTGACCCATGTATCTCCATTAACTGTGCATAACCCACTAGCTTCAGTGGTTCTCGGGATTTGTACAGAATGAACATCATTGTAAAATAAAAGTACAGAAACTGCGTTAAATCAATTGGTGAGGAATATAATTCGTATACATCGACGACTGAAACAAATATTTGAAGCGATATTCTTTCAGTGTAGACATTGTCTAGAAGCCTCGATTTAGTATATAAAGCGACAACAAAAAGTAGTATTTTCCTGAGTGATATTGCTAATTATTTTCGCTTGAAGTAGATGTCCATTATCAGGGATGGTGCAAGGGTCTCGTGCCCCCCCGAATCTATGATACAGCCCCCAACTCTACTCAATTTTTATGAGTTAGTATTCATAAAAAATACAAATTTTATTTTAACCTAAATAAATATAATAATCAATCATATTCAATGTAAGTGAACAATTCAATAGAAAAATTGAAAATAAATGCAACGTGTCTAAATACAAATTAAGATACATGCCATAATAGATTATAATAAACTGACAATGTTTCGCGGCAATTATTAACATTAACTTTAGTATTTTTTTTTTTTATTAAAATTTGGAATAATTTAACACATTCAACATTATGGATTAAAAAATGAATTTTATATAGTGTTTTTTTTTTTTTTTTTTTTCCAAACTTAGCATGAGCAAAACAGTTTAACGGATTTGGACGAAACAAAAGATTCTACAATAACATCAAAATCCGCGATAAGTTTGCATCCATTAATAATCAGTTGTCCTCAGCTTAATTTATAACGTATACAAATGAAGACAAAAAAAAACCAAAAACAAAAAAAAACCCCAAAATCAAATAAGATGGCGAAGTTCAGAAAGAACTGCCAGGGGCACTTAATCCGGTTTGACTCACGCCTATCCAGGGGGGGAATTCTAGGGTAGTACGCACCGGCCTTGTCTACTGACTTTATAAAGCCACTGTAGCTAATTTTGCAACGAATGGAAATCTTAAGTGAGTCAAATAATTTGAAACGATTCCTGGATATTTTATTGGTGTTAGCGAGTAGGAGTTCATCTCGTTCCTTCTTTGAGATGTTACTCCAAATTGTTCATAAATGTCGGAAGTAGATATGATCTTGGAGGGTAGAATATCCACCCACTAAGCCTCACTTATCTTCGATTTCATTGTCTCCTCTCAGTTCGTTTCTCGTTTCTGGCTCATGTTAGTTTCATTTCGGGGAAATAATTGCATCTGATTTGGCGATATGAAACAACTTTTATTTTACATTAGGAGAGCGAGCTAATGGTGGACTTTCGAGTTAATATTGGGCTTAGTCTTTCCAGAAAGCTGGCTTAGGAAATGGGGAAACAAAATAAAAGAAAAACAAGAGAAACATTTACTTTGAGTAATAAAAATAGAAACAGGTTTGTGTCGTGTCATTTTCTCGCTTTTCATTACAAAACAAAAAGAAATTAAAATTTTACTTCCTACTCTGAAATTTCGAAATAATTGTTATTTACAAACATGCCATAAAATATTCATGTAATAAATAAATAATAATAATGGCTTGCTGCCAATATCCCGAGAAAACTTACCAAGTACGATTACAAAAACTCGAAGAACTGCAGTTGGTACAAGAGATGAGACCTTATTAATATAACAACACAAATAAATATGTTGGTCCCAACAAAAAAGAATATAACAATGATAATTCCTTATCTGAAGGATTCATATACGAAAATAATATATGTTAGTAAAGGATTTAGATCGCATGTTATTATTTACCTTTACATGAGACAGATTATGCGAAAAATGGAATACTGTTGTTATATTTGGGCGGGAGCTGCACAGTCTATACTTTCCAGCCTTGAAAGCCTAAAAACATCTCCGAGTTGATAAATGAGTAGGTGACGAATTATTTTCCGCTCTCCGACCTCTCTCTCACAGGCAGGATGTAGCAAACCTCTCACAGCTCTGTCGCTACTACCATAGAAAGTGTTCGGACGAACTACATTCCTTGCTTCCGCCATTTGTAACCTTAACGTCTAGGACCTGCCAGTGCGACTCACATTGTAGCAAACCGCCCACATTCCCTACATGTCCCATTCGTGAGAAGTAAGTTCTACTTAAACAACTTCTTCCCACAAATTACTTCTCTCTAGAACCGATTCTCAAAATGATATTTTCCCGATTACTACAATCTTAACCTGTTCAAATCTAGGGTTAACTCTTATCTTCCTCTTCTATCCGAATAATCTATCTTTTAATGTAATCCTCTAGCTCAAGTGGCACTTGGGCCTTGGGTCTTTTGTGACGCCCCCCCCCAAAAGAAAAAACAAACCAAAAGAACACTTTTATGGACCATTTTTATTCTCAATATTTTTTAATGAACGCCTATAGCCATTCGATGAAAAAAAAAAAGCTTATTTTATTTTTTACTAATAGAAAAAATTTAGGATGAAAATAAAAATAAAGCATATATATATTTACTATTTCTATTCTAGAAATAGTAAATATATATATGCTTTATTTTGAAATAAAACTAATTTAATGAAAATAAACTTGTATTTAACAACTAAATTCTATGGAACATTTATATACACTAGCAAAATATCTCAAAATAAACCATTTTAAAATGAACCCCTGTGGGCCTCAGTAATATTACATAGACCCCCAGGGTCGATATGGTTTGGTATCGTTTTGTTTATTTAACGGCATATCAACTGGGTAATTTATTGCCGAAATTTAATTTCCTTGGAAGCTTTTGTGACGTACGGTTAATAATTAAGTATAATTCAAGACTTCAATGTTAAAATAATAACGCCTTTATCCACTGTGCCATGTTCTCAAGGACACATGGCGCAGTGGATAAAGGCATTAGTTATATCCAGTGACAGGACCCAAAGAGTGCGAGGTCAATACCCGGCTAAAGTAGTAGAGAACTTTCAGAGGGAAATTAACAGGAGATAACTGACATCCATTAAACATGACACGTGGAACTAGAACAGTCTACCCCAGTGAGCGAAATAAAGGGTTCAGTTCGATATTCCAAGCACCCGAAGAAAGCCGGAGCGTACAACGGCCAAAACGTTGTAATAAATATGACGACAAAGATGAGGACAATAGTCCGAATAATGTTAATAATGAACTGCAGTCTTACTGGAACACTCCTCTTCTGAACGCAGAGAACAACTTACAAGCAGTACTATCAGATATGGATATGGTAGCATCTATTTAAACTGCAATTATCTTTTTGCAGTGATTTTTCCTCTCTTAGAATTATCAATTGATATAATGGCTCCTGTAATTCGTGACAACCACATGTATTGCAGCCATTGCATCTATTTTCTCTTTTAACGTTAAAAAATGACATTCAAAGCCCACACACGAATCTTGTAAAAACACTAGTTGAAATTTCACTTTTCAGAATATGTATATGCGTCACGATGGACCACTAGAGAAAATGTCCAGCTTCAAGTGTCTGGGAGCAACCCATTCAAGAGATTGCAGCTGCAACTCGGAAATCCGCACACGGATCACCACAAACATATCAACGATGGCCAGACTGGAAAGGACATGGAAGAGCAACATGAACTTCCAGATCAAGTTCAAAATCTACAAATTGTTGGTCATATCCATCATCCTTTACGGGTGTCAGATTTGGTAATTCCTAGTTGGAAGCAGGAACAAGGATCCAAGCGTTCAAGAACAAATGCCTGTAAAAGCTTCTCCGCATCTCGTCACTAACGTCGGAAGATGTCTTGTTTTGGTCACGGCACACGGCATAACAACCCCTGGAAGACCATCATACAAGGTACTGTTGAAGGCGGACGCAAGCGGGGACGGCAGCGGAAGAGCTAGACAGATGACATCAAAAGTGGGCGGATATGACAATGCCGGAACACCTGAGAGCCAACGTCAACAGACCATCCTGGAAAAGATTATCTTTTTTCTTCTGCCCTTATGTTCCCAAACCCAACGTCCTGCACACTGAACAATGTGTCCTGGTTGAGGGAGGAAAAATGATCCAGGCGTTCGAGATCCGAGCAGTAACAGTGAGCTGCAAGACCTGAACAACAAACTCGTTGAAAGAGCTGGCGCATTACTGTCGAAGATAGACGCAAGTGGGTACGGCAATGCCAAAGTGGTCAGACAACATCAAAGAATGGACAGGCATGACAAAGTCGGAATTCCTGAGAGAAACAGATCATCCTGGAGGATGTTGTCTGTTTCTTCTACTGTCAGGTTCCACTTGCGTTTGAATCAATCAACGGACTGATGATGGCAATAATGCGTTATGAATTACAGACACTTGTTAAAGGAACTTTCGTGTTCAAACACCAACACTTCAAAATCCTACAAAATTTTGTTCTAATCCAACATATGAATAATTATAAAAGCGTTTAATTCGTTTGATTTAGAGATGAAGAAATTTTTGAGCGCAGATTTTGTTATTGAACATATGCATAAGAATTTTTTTAGAGATCATCGATTTCATTCGGTCGTTCGGATAGATTTTTTACAGTAAGATTCACCCTGTACAAGGCCCTAGGGACACTCGAGGCAGAGGGTTCCATTCCATTAAGGGGTAGTTTATATGGATAGGACGATAACGGTTGACTAGAACAGGTTAAGATTGTAGTGATCGGGGAAACATCCTCTTGGGAGTTGATTCCACAGAGTAGTTCGCGGAAATAAGCTGTTCGAGTGGAACTGACTTCCCGTCGATGGAATATGGAGGGAATGTGGGTGGCTTGCTACTATGGCGGATCCTATCCGTAATGGTTAGACCTAGTGGAACCAGGGAGATGTAGTTCGTCCGAGCAGTTTCACTGGTAGTAGCGATAGAACAGTGACGGTCTATATTCTTTTACTGAAATGAGTATATTATTGAGATTATGCTCAGTGAGACGTGGGAAGTCGCTGTAGGTACGTACTTTTAATGTTCCGAAGAAAAATAAACTGCGTTTCATTCTGACTTTTCTGCTTTCCTTCTTCTTTTTCTTCTTTTTTTCGTCCTTTCTTTCCTTTTCTTCTTTTCCGTTTACTTTTACTTACATTCTTTCTTTCCTCTCTTTTCCTGCTTCCTTGTCGGTTTCATTTTCTTTCCTTCTTTTCCTTTTCACCTCTTCTTTGTTATTTGTTTACTTTTCCTTCATTCTTTCTTTCCTTCTTCTTTTCTCTTTCCTTCTTCTTTTCTCTTTCCTTCTTCTTTTCTCTTTCCTTCTTCTTTTCTCTTTCCTTTTCCCTCATTTCTTCTTTTCCTTCCTTTTCCTTCATTCGTTTTCCTCTTTTCCTTATTTTTTTCTCTCATTTATTCTATCGTTTATCACAATTAATTATGTGCGTGCTAAACATCAGACTTAATATCTTTTCTATGAGCCTATGAAGTGCCTGACTGACGAGCATGACCTTGTTTGATTGGTATAAAGTGATGGTTAACAAGCAATTCACACTTTGATGTATTTCGTTTGATCCTAGTCGGGAGCTTCATTATTGTGGCGCTGTGCCAGACTATATATATATATATATATATATATATATATATATATATGTGTGTGTGTGTGTGTGTGGTGAGAGTAAGGTGGGCAAAAAGAACGAGAGAAAGATAAACAGATATAGAGAAAGAGAATAATAGAATAATTAACTGATTAAATTAAATTGTTAAATTTGGATAAGTCAAAAATGGAAAGATTGGAACATATTGAGATTTACATTAACGAAGTAAGGCAGACAGCGTGGCAGTCACACCACATATAAACACAAAAGATAGATAGATATGAACAGACTGATATATATATATATATATATATATATATATATATATATATATATATATCAGTCTGTTCATATATATATATATATATATTCAAACATATATTTTAAATATAACAGACAACGAATGTCTATACACACACACACACACACACACACACACACATATATATATATATATATATATATATATAGAGAGAGAGAGAGAGAGAAAAGAGAGAGGGAAGGCGTGATCGAATATTTTAAAAACTAGGAAGCATTACTTTTGAAACGATCCTCTAAGATAGATTGTGTCTATGTCAGAGGTAAGGTAGTTGGTTTTACGACATGTCAAACATCATTTGTTTATTTAATGTTGAATTTTTATATTATGGGACACCCACTGAGGATCGAACCTGCTCCTCATTAATAATTGTCAAGCTGATTCGCCTCACTAACCGTTGCCGTTCACCGTGTTGCCTCTATAACAGTAGTATATTGACATAAACTGATATATATATATATATATATATATATATATATATATATATATATATATATATATATATATATATATATATATATATATATATGTGTGTGTGTGTGTGTGTGTGTGTGTGTAAAATGAGAAGAAATGGAGTATAATTCTGTCTTTAACATTGAATTTAAGAGGGTTCAATACAGAGTAGAGCTAAATATTATTTATTTTAGGTTATTAAAACAAAAACATGTTAAAAATCGCTACACAATTACAATTATTATATAGGTCATGACACTAAGTTGTCTGCATATAAATCCTAGACAATTTCATTATGGACAGATACAAATGGTTTCGTTATTTCGTAAGATGTACAGAAGTCTGGCATTCAATTTTCCTAAGAAGTAAAAGCGAAAGAGGTAGGGAAGTAATTTAACATAATGCTAACTAGTTATATGCTCGGTCAGCTATCTACATAAAATTTTGTAATTGATAAACAAAAGACCCCTTTAAGAAACTGTAAATAACTTAACCGTTTAAAAAAAAAAACAGATATAAAACTACTTTGGCAAATTAATAAGCAACCGTTAAGTAAAGAACATCCATATAAGATGTTTATAATACTAACTAATTAATGCAAGACGTTAATAATACTAACTAAAGATCTATACAGAGCTATATTAGATCAAAATGAATCTTACAAATAGAATAGTAAGCCATATAAGGTGCACCGCAGTTCATCTGCTGATTATTACTGTAAGAAAAAGTATTATCAAATTCAAAGTTTAAACATATTGTAAGATAAAAGTTAGACTACGCCTACAATTTTCAGTCAATTCACTTTGTTTTAATAAGGGGTTTTTACCAGAAAATCTGATAATTTCTAATAGAAAAGTTTTTTTTAATAGAAAACTGGATTCATTTAAAGATTTACATGTTCTAGCATTTTTAAAAATTTCCCATTTTACCTTAGGAGTTTTATTAACTTTTTTAAAATTCCAAAAATATTTAAAAGAGATATACTATTTTTATAAGTACTATTGTGAAGGATTATTTATGTTGGTACCGCCTAGTCTCAAAAGAATCTTTAGCACTATCAATATAAAATTTTTCAACAGTCGGGTTCTCTATTGTAGAAATGGTACTTAGATAAACAAGAGAGTTGGTTAAACATCAGTTTCGTAATGGGCATTCGTTAGAATTCCTGCAATTGCATTTGTTAATATAATCAGCAGTATTTATCTTGAAATGTGCATTCTTATTAAAATTTTTAAATTGGTTCAAAATTTTATTATTGTGTTTCTTTATAATCTTTTCACGGTTATCGGTGCAGTTATAACTTAGTTTTAGTGTGTTTCTGTTAAATATTTTATTAAGAGGATTACTTTTAGGGAAATTTTTATCAATTAAATGGAGGAACTTCTGACCTAACTTGGTACTGACCTAACTTGGTACTGACCAATTGGTTAAATGGGGGTGTGTACCAAATGATTTTCCATTCCTATTTCAGGCAAAAGTACGCATACGGTAATATAAAACAAAACGATTGCACAAAATGTATTATTATATTTTTTACATAGACACATAATAATAGTATAATAATTCCAATATACCTACTTTTATAACCACTTGTATATAGAGGGTGTTCTGAAAATCTCGTCACCCCTATATAATATAATTTTCTATTTCAATGCTCTGTGGAGTATTATCAAAGGAGAGCGTTTCATATAAACGATATCAGAATAGCTATCAGTTAAAGGACGAGCCTTTGCAACAATCAACAAAGCACAGTTTCGTAAGATTTTTGTGCCACTAAAATGCAAGTGTTCATACAGACCTTCTCGATGGATGACAGCATCAGTAAAAGTGAATAAACTAAATTCTGTATATATTCTTTGTATTACTGTATTACTTGTTCTTCTATTGTTCTTATTAAATTTTGGTATGGGCTGAAAAGACTCTCGGGCAAGACTGTATGTTATTAAAAAATATATTTTGTTTACTCTTGCTTCTTCTTAGTGGTATGGTTTTCAGGCACTTTCCAAAGGTGCCGCACGGTGGGATCGACCTCGATCCATTCCGATAACATTAGGAAGTCTCCTTCTAGATAAGTCAACCATGGTAAGATTACATAATATACACACATCAACAGTAAGAATAAAAGTTAAGTGCATAAAATATGACATAAACCAAGATCTTAATGCAAAAGTCGACAGAGCCTAAATATATTGTAATAATATTATTGATACACTAATATCAAGATCGGCTTTTGTATATATATATATATATATATATATATATATATATATATATATATATATATATAAATATATTTATATATATATATTTCATTTATTATATTATATATTATATCTAGCATATATATTAAGGATATAATATATATACGTATACATATATATATATAGAGAGAAAGATAAATGGTATGCCGTTTCACGTTCTTTCAAATATACGTTGCTCGCTATATATATATATATATATATATATATATATATATATATATATATATATATATATATTTTATATATATATATATATATATATATATATTATGTTATATGCATCCATAGACACGGTATAACGTATTGTGTATATATATATATATATATATATATATATATATATATATATATATATATATATATATATATTCAAGTACTTATAATAATATAAAGTGTCTTTTACTTAATTCTATTTTAGTTTTTTTTCTGTTCTGTTATTTCATCTTTCCCATTTTTTCCCCTCTTCCTTTTCTCTCTTCCTCTTCTTACAACCACCACCGTTTATTTCCCGCGTTCCTAGTTATTCTTGTTTTAGCCTATAGATAAAATATATGTAATAACATTTCTCTCTGTGATGTTATTTTGATTGCTATGTTCAAAAATATTAGTACAAACGCTTCTATTTAGATAAACCCGTTTGGGATAAGTGACTTTTTGAAAGATAAATCATTTTTGACGATTAGAAAAAGTGAGATTAAAAAAGCGTGCATTTTCTATACTTCTTTTTGCGTAAACTCATCTGTGTCTGTAGGGGGGGAAGGGTGTTAGCATCGCGCATGCAAGCTCCCCCCCCCTTCTCTCCCTGTGAAGTTTCTATGGGTGTTCTCTGTATATTTTATGTGCATGTGTGGCTATGTATGGGATTAGTGTGTCGACATTATGCGTGTATCTGGTATATGTGTGTATGGCGTATATAGATATGCGATGTGTGTGTAGCTTAAACGTGTGTGTCGTCTGTGTGTACGTGGTAGACATGTTCGCGTGTAATCTATGTATGCCAGCATGTGAGTGTTTCCTGTTGTTTGTGTGAGTAAAATATTTGCATATACTCTTTTGTATGAAATACAAATGCCGTCAGGGATAGTGATACTGGTGGGAAGTTTTCAACTTCTAAAAATAAGCATGTCCGTTCAAATAAATACGAGAATGCATGTTTTCTGATATGGCATGATTCCTGAAACAAAATAAACTTGCTGCGGTGAAAATTATTTGAAAATCAATCAGCATGCAATACCAAATAAGCATCATGCCGGGGAGGGGGAACTGAAAGAAATCATTTAGTACACAAAATTATTTAAAGACTCGCGTGAAAACCTTTTTAAATAATCGTAAAAACTTAAAATTATCAATTTGAGATAGGCCGTCATATTTTATGACATAAGTAAACGTTTTAGATTAAAGCAGTCTTAAGATCGCTACACACTGGTGTAAAGAATTAGCCGTTCATCGATGTAATATTTATTTACGAAAATGGCATACTAGTAAAACCATTGACATGGTTTTTACTCTTACTTGACATCAAATCTCTCCTAGTATGTGCCACCTTATATTTAAACTAATAGCCAAAGTACAAGTACTTTTTTTTGTATCAAATGCCTGTGTCGTCTGGAATAATAATGCTGGTGGGAATTTTTCAACTTATAAAATAAAAGGGTAATTTTTGATTCCTGGAAATAAATAATTGTATCACAGAAAAAAATATTTGAAAAATAATGAGGGTGCTATACCAAATACGCACCTTGCCGGAGTAGGGATAATGGAAGAAATTATCTTGCCGGCAATTGTATTTGGTACACAAGAATACCAGTCGTTTAGCACGTTTCTGTATACCAGTA